GTCGACATGGTGGGACCCGTATTGACCCGGTGGACTCGGTTTTGATCGAAAATGACGGTTGACTCGAGAAAATATATTTTAAACTCTTTTTTTTTCTTTTTTTTATTATATTTTTTTGTCATGAATAATAAGATAAAATAACATCCCAAAAAATTTTAGTGAATCCAAAATTGGGTTACAACATAAAGTAGACCTAAATCTGAGATCTACAGCTCCAAATATGACTCAATTACTGAACAATATTCCGGTTTGGACTACATCAGCATCTCTTTTATAAGTTTGACCATCTCTTTGTCCTTTCAATTTTAGTTCTTAAACTCATCAATCAATCCTTTTATTTATGTGATAGGCCTGCATTTAAAATAAATATTTACCATAAATTAAAGGTATCTTATATTATTAGATATGTTATTATAAAATATTCTTTAGTTGAGGAGTTATTAATACTTCAAGTGTAAAATGATTATATAAAACCTTGATAAAAATGCACTTTTAAGTACTAATCATCTTACATCTCAAAGTCATCTTTAACTCATCATTATTATTATTTATATTTTATATAGTTAACCTCTCTGTGGTTCAATCCTGATCTTACCGGGTTATTTACTACTTTAATACTTAGGAGAAGATATCAATCTTTTGGTCGTGTCAATCACATATATTTTAAAAAAAAAATTCTCATTTAGAAATACAGTTTTTTCATCCGTTTGTCAAATGTCATAATCATGGTATGTAATTATAACAAGCAAAATCCTTATAGATTGGCTACTAATCTAGCTTGGTATATTTGTATATTTTAATTCATGTCAGTTTTTATCTTAAATACTCACTGATATCTAGTGAGTTTTATCCTTTTAATCATACTATGTATCAGTCTCAAAAACTCTAATTAATGTCAAATCTTAATAAAACATTGACTAAGAATAATCAGGAACAATTCTTTAATGCAATATGAATCCTATAATTATAACAACTTTTATTTTTTTTTAAATATTTTTTTCTGAAGAACTTTATCTTTAGTTTAGGTTCATTAAACAAATATTATATTTATTTATAAAATATTTGATGAATATTAAAGACAAATAACTTTTTATTAATAAATTATATATATTTATATAAATAAAATCAATGTCACATATAACCAATAGAGACAACCGCATCATTCGGTTTATCCTTTTTAAAGGCTTTAAGATAATGTTTAGGAATACGGTTGAAACTGTATTTTTTAAAAATTTAAATTTTTTTTTATTTTTTAATCACTTTAATATGTTGATATTAAAAAAAATTATTTTAATATATTTTCAAGTAAAAAAACATTTTAAATCATAACTATTATTATATTTTAAATCACTAACAATGCACAAGTGGAGATAATTATAGGCTTTTCACCTTGCTCAATCCCTCTTTGTTTTTATATTTTAAAAATGCTTTGAAAAATTTTTGAAATTTTTTTATTTTAAATTAAAATATTTTTTATATTTTTAAATTATTTTAATACATTAATAATAAAAATAATTTTTTTAAAATAAAAAATTATTATTTTAATATATTTTTAAATAAACAACATTTTAAAAAATGCAGCGTTTCTTAAGGCTTGAAATAAGCGAGAAGAACTGCTCTTCATTCCCTACTTCTTGGCTGGAGGCCTCTCTCCTCCATCTTTCATAGCAACCAGACACCCCGTTTCTAATAGACTATGGACCCTTGCCTAACGAACCATTGTATGTACAAACTGTAAAGTTTTCGTTGCCCAGCGAACCCTTGCCTAACACCCCGTTTTCATGCCTAGCAGCAAGCACAAATTGTAAAGTTTTCAAGTTTTAACATATTCCTTTTCTCGCAAACCACCGCCTCGTAACCTAGCAGCAAGCACAAATTGTATAGTTTTCAAGTTTT